TTCTTTTACTTTTTCCCACAAGGTTGTGGGGAAAAAACCTCCTTACTACTATTTAGGGGGTTTTTTTCTTCTCGAGGGGGGAGTTTTTTTTTTTTTTTTTTTTTTTTTTTTTTTCCCCCCACTTCCCCCCCCCTCCTAATAATTTTTTTTTTTTTTTGGGTGGTGGGGGGTTTTTTTTTTTTTCCCCGTTTTCTCCCCCCTTTTTTTTTGGGGGGGGCGGCGCCCCCGCTTTTTTTGGGCGGGGGGGGGGGCAAAGCTGGATCAGTAGGTCGCTCCGCCCCTACTGACCCGACCGTTTTTTGACGTTCCGCTGCCTTTCTTGACAGTCAGTCGATAATTCCGCTCAGTGTCGCGATACGCCGCGCGTGGGGAACTACACTCATATGCGTAGTGGTCTAACTTCTGACAGATATTTTACCTTTGCAATCCCTTTTGCTCGAAGATCGAGGTTTCTCGCTTTAAACATTACTGAGTTCCATTGGTACCAGGACCATTAACCTCTTGTCGTCTGGGTGGACGATAGGAGCTCGAACTATCCTAACCCTGTCTCAGGCTAAATTACTCTGTTTATGCAGCTGAGATTGCTTGTTCAAGCGTATATAGCTCCAAGCGGAATAGTTATCCCCTTACAGGGGCCTCTGAGAGGCTTTGCATGGATAAAGTAACCCACCTATGTTCATTGACCGGGTTGGCCGTTATACTACTCCCGAGAAGTCGTGTATGTTGAGCGTAAGCGTGCACATCACGCTAACCAAGTTTGAGTTTCAGGACCTCTGACCGAGCCCTATACTTATCCCGTGGCGGCTTAAACGTTTGTCTAATCCGGGTCTTGAAGAGCGCCTACGACCTAAATGCCTATGGGTCGTACATCTTAATGACAAAGCCCAATTTTTGGCACGTCCTGCCAAGTGGGCTTAAATGTGAGTTGCATTTTCTCATCGTCAATACGACGAGCCATAATAACAGGAAGCCTTCCTTGACTCTTCCGTATTTGCAGAAATATACCCTCAAGGTTTCGGGTCGACGCGCATGCATCGGCCCTTGATAGAAGACTGAACCTTCTTGTATCTCAATAGTTCAAACTGTTGTAAAACTTGTTGATTGGACTAGGCTAGCTTTTGCATCGCCGTGTCAAGTTCATGCTGAATCAACTTGGCGACAGCAAAACGCTGTTGGTCCCTGTCTAGTGTAGACAGCATGCTTCAAGTAATAGTTGATCCTACATCCGAACTCATCCGTTCGGCCGCACTCCATTCGAAGTCGCTCAAATTGGAGTAGATTTCACTGGTTCTGTGAAATCTGTCGCCATCATCGTCCAACATGAACATGTTAGACGAAAAAGTTGCGGTTCTTGGAAGGAATACAAAGTGCTACCAGGTGTAACAGGGCACTAGTGGCTACGCACTGACAACAGTGCGTAGCGAGCTCTTACTGGCTTCAGTAAGAACTAGTGACCTTGTTATTTAGCGTACACTGAACGTGCTGAAAGGAAGACTTAATACTAGATTACTAAGTGAAGTATGAGAAAATGAAAACTGTACTTATAAATTTAAGTCCTGAATGCGTCTTGCCTTACTAATCCTCACTTAACAATATTAAAGCATGTGTAGTGACGTCTACTCACCACCCGTTGCGCGCGTCTAGCAGCGATTAATGGGTTGATATAATGGTATTGCTGACTTGTGCGGATGTTCGAAGCCGGGCGACTGCATAGGGGCGGAGTCAAAGCGTCTGTTTTACCAAGCGCCATTTCTTCTCTACGATCAGCTTCTTGGCAGCAGAGTACGCGATGGCGTGACTCCCGCGAGAGACAACGAGGATGTATCGTCAACTTATAGCTTGCAACGTGCGTGCAATGACAGGTATTCGTAAAAGCGCTAGTAAAAGGCACGCGCCGTATGAATATCGCGTAGGATTGTCCGCAGTGGGCAGTAGAATCGAGAAGTCACTTGAAGTAGGACTCACAGGCGCTACAACGAAAGCGAGCAGGTCTAGGGCACAGCTTGGCGACAGAGAAGACTCACCTGCGAAGGATTGCAACGAGCTCTTTTGCTTGCGTCAGCGTCAGGTGGAACTCCTGAAAAAGTCGGCACTAGATGGTGAACAGCTACGTGGATACTCGAGCTGCTACCAGCTTCAGTTCGCCACTTCTGGCTTGCGGAGGGTTGGCTAGGGCTACCACGGCAACTGGAGCAAACTCTGTGATCGAAGTGTTGTTCGGACCAGAGGCTCATACCGTCACATTCACGATTGCAATCCATCACGACCGTGCAACTGCAGCCCGTGCGACTGCAGCCGCTTTTCTCATCCGCTCATCACTCAAAAGCTGGCGAATAGCGGCTCGCACAATGTCCCATAGTTGATGCCGTATTCGACCATATCGATGTAGTGTCATTCAGTGACACTCAGGCTAGTCTTTCAAAGGCAATCGATTCGGAGATTGATACTGAGACGCGCCGTTTTCGGAAGCGGCTCCAAGCTCGGGTGTGTGACGAACACATGGGCATGATGCTACTTTTGAATGAAAAGGTTTGACACGGTGAGCAAAATCAAGTCGCCGGAGCTGTGATTGCGACCCGTCGCACTGATGACGGCCTCTAATCGTCGATGATAACAGAAGAAAAGAACGTGGGGTCAAGAACCGCCTGTTCCTTTCCACGATGTCACCTGCACGAATGTGCGGTGCGTTCGATCAACATGTATCAAACCTTCTTCTTTGCAACACGATGCCGCCCCTTCGACGTCGTGACCGAATCATCATCTCATCGCACAATCTCTCTTCATTACGTGCTCGAAGCACTCGCCTTTTCGTCTCGATGTACTCGCGCTGGGCAGACCCACGCCCAGTACCGACGCTTGCGTTTTTACCTTTTGACAGTCCACGATGAGCGCGTTCTCGCACATGGTCCACCAATGCTGTACGAGCCGCCTTACAACATCAGACGTGGCGGCCGCGAGTGTGCCCCTCGACACTCGGATAAAGTCCATGACTCACGTCCGTTAGCTGCGTGATCAATGGAAGGAGAAATGGCTAACAAGCTACCAGACATTACTTGCTTCGGAGCTTTCTCTACCCGATCGTGCCACCACATGATGAAATTGATTCGGAGTAACCGGGAGAGGCCGAATACCAAAGAACGTCTTGCCGTTGCAGATCAGGCATGTTGTCGCAAGCTGCCAAGCTGCTTCGACGAACTGCGGTGCGTGTCTACAGTCGCTCGAACGTCATTGCTCGCCAGCCAAAAAGACCGCAGCTGACCGAACATCGCGAGAGGGGTGGTAGAAGACGTGTTCCAACGAGTATGCCGTGCTTGATTGCACGTCGATCGCATGACGACCACGCACACAAACCTGAGGAACGTCAATTTATAGGGTGTCGAACGGCCAGCGTATCCTAGCTCGTTGCAACGCTCTTCGCGACCAGGCGTTCTTGCACTCACGAGCCTATGAGTGTTGTCACTTGTCGGCACTTGCTTCTGGACGGATGCGCGCATAGCTGACACAACTTGCGGCGAAGCAAAAGCCAAAAGCGTGGTACTACAAGTCTTGTCGACATCAGGCGCTCTGCTTTCCTGAGTCATCCTCCATCGCACGGCGTTTTTCAGGCTGACGGCTGAAGCTGAGGTCGCAGTGTAGTACAGCTTTCGTGAAACGCGCACTTACGTGGGTGCTAAAAAACCGAAAAGCGGGAGCATTTCGTGGTTTTGCATTGTCACTGGCAAAACTTGCAGAAACGCCGTGCACTTACACAGCCAGCGCAGTTGCTACAAGATAAGTCACGGAGTTAGCGCTAGGGTAGAACTACGTACGAAAGTGTGCGTCGTCCTGCATACATGGCCATGGCAATCGTGGCCTCACAAGACCTAGCGACTTTTATAAGCGATTCCAGTGGAGAGGGACTTGCGGGGATTGCGGCTTGGAAGCGCTCTTCTCTGCCAGAGCATGCCACGGATTAGCCCGCACATTTTTTGCGTCGAGCTGGACCGACGGCACCTCGAGTGCGCCGTCTGTTGCAGCGCAATCGCGCTCCTGAAGCAACACCGTCGGTGCGAAATCGCTTCGCCACATGACTGCGTCCGCGATCCTGTAAACGGTCTTTCTGGGCCTTGCGCATATAACGTATATACGACGAACGTGGCTCACTCATCAACAGTCATCGACAACAATCGCGTCCAGACAACAAAGATTCGCCACAGAAAGCGAGTCGTTGCTGTCGTCTTTTTTTGCAACAGCGAACTAGCTCCATTGCGTCTTCTGCTCACTATGCGCTCATACAAACCGTCAGTCTAACAGCTATCCAGAGACCAGTCGGCTGCCGAAACTGGACGTCCGCGTTCTCTGCGCAAGTGGTGACACGCGCCCACTCGCCTTGTCCGTACAGCGTCGCTCTCGTGCTTCACGCTGCATGTTTGCAAACATGGGTCCGAGAGCGCATTAGGCGGTTCGCCACTGCCTTCTTCTGCTCGTTCAGACTTGCACTCGAGCGAGCACATGTCTCTCGCTTTCTCTCTCTTTTTCTCTCTTTCTTTCCAATCTCTCCTGTCCATCAGCTGCATTACTCGCGTGTTCAGAAACGCCGCGCATCCACCCATGCCGACATGTCTATCGATCTGATTGAAGGCACAGCAGGAAAAGCCCGTCTGCGTGAACCATCGCGCAAGCAACGGTAACCGTCTCGACTGGGCGACTGACTGCAAACGCGCGACAAAAACGAGTCGCACAAGGAAACGCTTTTGCCGTGTCGACAGTCTCCAACCACTTCTGCGCGGTTGTCGTCGTCGTCGTCGTCGTCGTTGACGTGGCCGTCGTCGCGCTTTTGTTGCCGACCCATCGCCGCCCTTGCTGCAACATTAGCGCGAAGTTCCCGGTATATCCCACCCCCTCCGTATGTCTCTCGAGGGGGCTAGGGGAAGCCATTAAGCCAGCCAAGTCTCCCTGTATTGTCATATTCCTTCCGGCCTCTCCCTACTCACTGACGGACGGACGGACGGACGGCCGAGATGCACGTGGAGTTTGCCGTGCCCTCGCCCTCCGACAGCTCCACGGACTACCACCAGCTCGACATGGCCAGCGGCCAGACGCCCCCGTGCTCCGTGGGCACCAACGACCCGCCGTCGATGCACGCGTCGGTGACGTCCCAGGCGCATCCGCACCGGAGCACGCGCCGAAACAACACATTCAATGGCGCGCCCAACGAAGAAGAGCAGCGCAACATCATATCGCTGCGGTATCGTGCCGACAGGTACGCATCTCTACATGCAATTAGGCCCGCAAAGGACGTGGAGTTGCTTCATGGCGGTGGTGGCGGAAAAGCACTTTTTTGACGACCAAAAAGTGCAATTTTTGACATGTGGTTTTTTCTCGTGCTTTGTTGTTGATTGCTTTTTTGACGACAGTATGGCCGACTCGGTCGCGTCGGATACGAAATCGGACGCCGAAGCCAAGTTGTGGAACTTGTTTGAGCAAGTCTTTTGCTTCCTCAAGGGCATGACCATCTACCAGACGCGACGACGGCTCAAGTTTACGATCGTGTCGCAGACGGTCATCAACTCGCTGCGTATTTTCCCCATCATCTTGGGCCTGAGCTTCCAAGCCACTGTGCCTGTTCTCATTCTGTACGTCACACTCGTGCTGGGCTGGCACGGCACCAAGTTCCTCGTGCCCAAGTTTCTGCTTAGCTACAAGATCGGCATGCAGCTCACGCTGCTCGTGGACGTCATTTGGTACTTTAAGGGCTACAACGGCAGGCTCAATAGTGTCAGCAGCGGCACTTCTGTGCTCATGCAAGGGTTTTTCTCCATTCTGCTGACGATGCTGAACATCATGGGTTTCCTGTATGGCTGGAAGCTCCGGCGAATCGTCAAGGCGGTGCAGAATCAGCGAGAATGTGACCGCGCAGCTCTCGCGACGATGATGCCGTCCCCGCAACGGACCACTTCGGTGCACCAGACGCTGTCTGTGAACCCGTCGGCCGGGGAGGTGGACAAGGATGTGGGCCCGTCAATGCGTCGCAAGTTCACCGTAGGACCGGGCGTTGCGAAGAAGAGAGAGCGGCGCAGTCAGGCAGGTGTGTCGTCAAGGCTGCCTGGTGTTTTAATGACCAGAACGCAGCAGAGAAAGGAGGCGGAGGCTCAAGAGGCGGCACCCGTATTCTGCTCCAACTTGATCGTCACGAGCAAGTACACGTACTACAACTTCCTGTTCGTTTTCCTCAAGATGCAGTTCAGTCGCCTGGCGAATCTGTACACGACGATTGTGGTGGCGCTGTGTTTCTTCGACTTTTCGCCGGTGAGTCCCGTGGCTAGTCTGACGCCGCTGCTGATTGTGTTTGCGACGTCTGCGCTGAAGGACGTGAGCGAGGATCTTCGCCGCCAGAAGGGGGATGCCACGGTGAACTCTAGGTCGGCGCACATTGTTCGTCACGATGTGGCAGATGAGGTGATACACATCGACGGCACTTGGCAAGATATTGAAGTTGGTGACGTTTTGGTAATGAAACACGGCGACCAGGTTCCTGCTGACTGTATCTTGTTGGCGACGAGTCGCCCCGATGGCCGGTGCTACGTGGAAACGGCCAACTTGGATGGTGAAACAAACCTAAAAATTCGCCAAGTGGCCAGCTGCACGAAGCACTTTTGTAGCGCTGAAGAGATTTTGGAACGTCACAAACTTGAGGTGGAGATTGATATGCCGAACAAGGATTTGTTTTACTTTGACGGTGTGTTGAAGCTCGAGAAAGTCGGCCACGGGGCTGCCGCGAATGCTAAGGAGGATCTAGAAACCAGTTTGACGATGGGCAACCTGATTTTGCGTGGAAGTGAATGCCGCAACGCTGAGTGGACGCTTGGACTTGTGATCTACACGGGCAAAGAGACTAAGGTTCAGATGAACTCGGTTGCTGTGCCTCTGAAACGTAGTTTTGTGGAGAAGACGTTGGACACGATGTTCGTACTGGTTTTGATGCTGCTTTTTGCAATCTCGATTGCCTGCACACTGGGCAACAACAACTGGAATCTGGATCTGGCCGAAGATGCTACGCCGTGGTACATCCAAGAAGAGACGAATGGCTACATCTTTTTGAGCTACGTGATTCTGTTCAACAACTTGATTCCGCTGTCCATGTACGTGACGATGGAAGGTGTGCGATTCGTTCACGCACGCTATATCGAAAATGACGTGGAAATGTACGATGCGAAGACCGATACACCAGCCCAGGTCCGCAACAGCAACATTAACGAAGATCTCGGTCAGATTCAGTACATCTTTTCCGACAAGACGGGCACACTTACTTGCAACGAAATGATTTTTGCAAAGTGTACCATTGGCGGACTGCGCTACAATGACGTTGAATTTGACTCTGCGAAACAAGTTAGACCCGGCACAAAGTTTGACGATGGTCGATTGCTGGCGCGTCTGGACTCGAACCATTCAACGAAGCAGGAGATTCACGATTTCTTGTTGTTGTTGACAATATGTAACACCGTGATTCCTGAGTTAAATGTTCCGTCGTCACCTACATCAGATAGCGATTCGTGCTCAGCCCAGACTCCGACGATCAAATACAACGCGTCGTCTCCGGATGAAGAGGCGCTTGTGCTGGCTGCCGCAGACCTCGGCTACGTACTGACTTCGCGTGACGGTCCAATATGCCACACTATCATTCGGGGCACGCCGATGTCGTTCGAAATTCTGAATGTGTTGGAGTTCAACAGTGATCGAAAACGTATGTCAGTGATTGTGCGATTTCCCGATGGGGAGATTGTGCTCTACTGCAAGGGTGCTGATGATATCATTTTTGAATTGCTGTCGAAATCACAGCCGCAGGGCGTCTCGCACGTGACACGCGGCCACCTCCAGGAGTATGCATCGGAAGGTCTCCGGACACTGACGACAGCTATACGGCGCCTTACGCAAGAGGAATATGAACAGTGGAATCAGTTGTACCGCCAGGCGGAATTCTCGATGGAGGGACGCGCCGGTAAGATTGCTCAGGTCTCTGCCATAATTGAGGTTGAGCTGACGTTGCTCGGTGCGACGGCTATTGAAGATCGACTGCAGGACGGCGTGGAGGAGTCAATTTGTGCACTGCGTAAAGCGGGCATCAAGTTCTGGGTGCTTACGGGCGACAAAAAGGAAACTGCGCTAAGTATCGGCATGTCGTCCCATGTGATTGACGACAACATGGACGTGATTGTATTGGGCCAGCGTGACAAGGGATCTTTACGCACGAGATTGGAGGAGTTGTACGTCGATCTTGTTGAAGACAAGTGGGGCTCCGACGAGACTTCATCGGCGGTTAGTGTGCTTTTGGAAGCCTTGAAGCGAGCAGTTTTGTACTTGTGGGATCTTGTGAAGCTGGCTCTGCTCGGACGCGACGAAGAAGCCGAGGCCCGGAAGAAACGGAGACGGCAACCGCGCCGGGATCATGCTGGTGTAGCTGCACCGGCAGGTGGTAGTTCTTTCCAGCAGGAAGACGTATATCCGGCGCCACCGAGACGCGATGTGTCTGAGATCAGCTTGGATCGAGATTTGTGTGACCATGACTTTGAGCCAAAAACTGATGCAGTTACCGGTGGCACTGGTAGTATGAGCAGTGGTGAATATGTGGACGAGGAGCTGGAATTTGCAATGGTGATTGACGGCAAAACACTCGCGCTTGTGCTTGACGATGACATTAAGTACCTTTTCTTGGCAGTAGCTACGCAATGCAAGTCGGTGATCTGCTGTCGTTGTTCCCCCGCTCAGAAAGCGTCGGTGGTGAAGCTTGTTACGGAGCCTACTCTCATGTTTTCTCCGGGCAATATTACGCTTGCGATCGGCGATGGTGCAAATGATGTACCGATGATTCAGGCCGCGAATGTGGGTATTGGCATTAGTGGAAAAGAGGGCCGCCAGGCTGTACTGTCCAGTGATTACTCAATCGCCGAGTTCCGGTATTTGAAACGCCTCCTCTTGGTTCACGGCAACTACAGCTACAAGCGGATTTCCAAGCTCATTTTGTTCTCGTTTATGAAGAACGTGGCGTTATCTCTGTCCAACTTTTTCTTGGCGATGGAGACAATGTACAGCGGTTTGCTGATGTACTTCAGCATCTTCTTTACGCTGTACAACGCGCTCTTTACGACGATTCCGATCGTGGTTATTGCCATGTACAATCAGGACGTGTCTCCTGCTGTGCTGATGCAGTACCCGACGTTGTACGTGAACGGTCTGAAAAACAGGTCGTTCAACTGGCTCTCCTTTTTCGGCTGGTGCGGGCTTGGCGCGTGGCACGCTTACGTTGTGTACTCAGTACCATTCTTTTCGAACGGCTCCGTCGTTTGGTACTTTTCGAGCGATTCCGCTAAGATCCAGTTTGACAAGCGCGATTTGGGTCTCTGGGCAAACGGTGTCGCATCGTATACGTACTTGATCACAGCCTCGACGGTGCAGGTCTCGCTAATGACTAGTAACTGGACACGGACGAACGCCATTTCCACTGTCGGCACTCTGGCGTTCTATTACTTGTTTACCGCATTCTTCTGCGCCGTGTTTGGATGGACTTCGACCGACTTTTACGACACAGAGGTTGGCTACGGCGTAGTGGGCCAACTTGTTGGCGAATGGTGGTTCTGGCTCGGCCTTCTGTTTACTGCAGTGGTAGCTGTCTTGCCGAATTACATCGCAAAGGCCGGGCGAGTGTTATTTTATCCGGAGCCATCTCATCTCATGCGCGAGTGGAATCGTTTGGCCAAGGGCGAAGACGCTGCCATCATGGCGAATTCTCCGCGACTTGTACGCCGCAACACGGGCTTTGCTTTTTCACACTGTCCCGGTGAAACGGAGATGGCGTTGGGTATCCACCAGAACAGTACTACGAGAGACCAGTCGCGAGCGGGGCTTTTGTCGGACTGTGCAGAGGTTGGCGTGCGTGCGCTGTCGCTGTCTTCATCCACAGCAGACGGATCTTCGCCGCGCTCCCCTAAAGCATCGTACTAGGCTTCCATGGAACAAGTCACTTCGAGGTTGTGAGCCGCAGGTATTGCGTAGGGAACCGGGCGGATATGCCGCCATAAACCGCTATCATTGCATGTACCATATGAATTGTGTTCTTCTCGACCTAAGACGATCTGATCGAATGCATTCTTCCACACAACGTGTTGGGAAAACCATTGCAAGAAACACATTGTGTGTCGCAGACGGCTGCAAAACAAGTGGTACTCGACAATGGCAGCATGGTCAACTATTTGTTTGTTCTGCCGCCTGGCACGTACGTGGTTGAAACTAAGTGACGACTTACCACCGGATCTATTCGCGCCGTTGGAGAATTCATCCACGGCACTGCGTCACACTCGACCGACACTGCTATTAGCGCGCGTACCAACCTCGACAAAAAGGCACGTGTCAGTGCTACATAATCCCTGTCGCAGTAGCTGATTCGTTGCATAGTCCCAGTCGGCAAGATATAGCGTGCGATGATTGCCTCTCGTATGAAAGTGCCGCCACATGTACACTCAACCCCTGGTAGCAAACAAACACTGAAAGCGTACATCAACACGACGCGGCCGACGCTTGTTCAATACAGAACGTCTCATAAAGGCACTTTACCTGCCGAAACAATTGTTCCTGACAGACGTCTACAGTCTCACGACCACGCAACTCTCCCCGCTTATCCCTCGTCAAGAAGGGCCAGACGGCAAGCCCCTAGAGCGGGCCAAATATGCCCGGATACCTCCATGTTCACTGCGCAGTCTGTGCATTCGGCGACTGGGGTCACATGAATTTCAATTTACGTTCCCGTCTCTCGGCGGTACTTCGTCTCGGCATATGCATTGTAAATTACAACGTTGGGCGACTTCGATCCTGCTCTCGTCACCCCACCTTGCTGTCGGTGCGGGACCGGTAGAGCCCGGGCTCGTCTTACGTCATCCACCGCCGTTTCGGCGCGCTTATAAATGGTCCCGGGTACGAGCTGATTTAATTGTCGGGTCATGTCGGGATCCTGTCGAGTCCGCGACCTCGACGATTCGCCTCCGCCAAGATGTCAATGGAATCCATTGGTCGATTGACGGGAATTTACCAGAATTACGGGGGTCGCCTGAGCAAGTGTCTAACTACTGGGAGCATTCGCACCATCGTACCTTGGTGTTTCATGCCCACCCGGAGCTTCACCGTTTCCCTTGGAGTGTGCCAGAGACGGTGGCCAATGTAGATGTGTGGACAACGCTTATGAAGCAAGCGTTTCACGTTCATAAACGCCTTCTGCACCCTGGCCTCCAGTCCTGGTTGAAGGCCTATGACGCGCAGGCGGTATCGAATAGTTGGCAGTCAGCTGCATCAAATCAAACGCCTTCCCAAGTTTGGAAACACGCAAACGGGCTAACGGAGTATCAAGTCTGGACATGCTATCGTATCGCGACAAAGCAGCTAAATCTATACCATGCCGGTCGCACGCTGGACAACAGTTGTCGTACGGTGCTGCACTGCCGAGGACGCAAAGAGACAGCGGCGCACATTTTCTGGGAGTGCCCAATCGCGCAAGCGTGTTGGTGTCACTTGATAGGACACTGGACCGGTGGGGGTGCGACGAACGCAGTTCTTTCCACCTTCTTTCAGCACTGCGCCAATCGCACAGCCCCGCCCATTCCACGTCAGCTGAGTTTGCGGTTGCAAAGCCGTTTTCAAGATGACTCTGACGCCGCAGCAACAGAATTCGAACGGATCTGGTTCATATTAAGCTCCATCTGCCAAGAACATTTGTGGACCGAGCGGAACTCGGCGGTCTTTAGAGGAGCCGTGACTACTCCATCCGCAAGTGTCCAAATGTACTGGACACGCGGTGTTCGCCAGCTACGGGCAATTGCAATACGCGAGCATCGAGCCGCGGCTACGGCCGTACGAGGGGCCCGACTTCATGCCTGTCTTGAACTTCTGATTCAAGAGCCCCGTGGACACCCGCCCTACGCGGGTGTCAGCCACGATCCGCTGCCGCGACCGGCGCTCATATCCTGGCTCAGGATTTTTCAGACCTCTTGTCCACATTAAATATGTCAATAGATGATCATGAAACTCCTCCTCCTCCCTCGTCAAGAACTCGAGCAGTGCATGCCAGTCTTCCACGGTAACTGCCCCCCCCGTTTTCTTTCGCATCTTGGCGTCAATGGTTGCCGATGCAAGCCGAAGGCCGTAGATGTTTGAAACACATACCAACCTTAGGCATGTAAGTGGTCGGTTCGTGCTTTTGTACGAAGGCGGATTAGTATGATCTGGGGCGAGGACTTTAAGGATGAACCAAAGCAACGCGTCTCTTTCGCTAGCGTCAGCGAATCCGACTGGTCGTGCATGGCATTTTCGAAGCAAACTCCGTACGATGATCTAATCTGTTGAGTGTTCTTGTCTTTTGTAACAGCTTTTTCGTATCTTCAGCAGAGAAACCCCTGCCACAACCTGTCACTCACTGTACGACCCACCGGTTTCTTCCACGACGCCATGAACTAACACTATCGAGCACTCCGTGGAATGTGCTGCTGTTGCAGCCATATACCTGTAAACTCGCTCACGCGTCGATCGCCCAGGCCGACGGTGAAGCTTCAGCTAATGTCGTTCAGCACGACGTTGTGAGCGCCTTTGCGCGATTGTAGTCTCATGTAAACCAATGAATGGGCCCGAGTGCACGTCGGGCCACCGTACACGACTGCAAGGCCCACGACATTACACCGCTGCGCTTTGCCATAGCAAACGACAGCAAACGTATTGTGGACACGTACCTGTGGTCGACATTACGACTGCATACGACGCCCGACTGGCAGAGCCAAAGGTACATCGTCACGCAGAAACAGCGCAAGCAACGAGACAACTTCGCTCTAGACCGCAGCTGCGCGACCTTGTGCGCAATATATTAGTTATTCTTTCGGTGCCACGAGCCTCTGCACACCCAATTACATAATGTATACGCGCTGCACTCGTCGCTGCAATTGTGGCATCCCTTTGCTCGGCGTCGACCGTCGATCTCCGTCGCGCACGTGGGACCACCGCTACTGGCAGGTCGTACTCTAAGTTTAGGCCTCCACGGCAATAGCACGTGTCTGTGACGCCATCATGCGGTTCACTGCGTTGACATACGCCGTAGCCGAAGCTACGAGAATGTCCGTGTTGGCACCGTGGCCGACGAACTGACGGTCGCGCTCCACACCAGTCTGCGCATTGATATGCTTCTCGTCCTCCTTCTTCTCCTGCTCCATCTTGTCCTCCTGTACCCGCACAGTCACCTCACCCAAAGCGTACGTGCCGTCCGTCACACTCTCAACCGAAAAGTCGTTCAGCTTGATCCTCTCCATGCCTGTTGCCCGCTTGATAGCGACATAAATAGCGTCAATCGGCCCAGTGCCCATAGCAGCCTCGCTCACTTCCTGGCCATCCTTGTACGCAAGGGTGACCGTGGCGGTAGGCTTGACCAGATTGCCAGCCGTGACGTGCACGGACTGGAGCGTCCAAAAGACCTCGGGCTTGAACAGCTCGTCCGAGACAATCGCTTCCATGTCAGCGTCCGTCACTGTCTTCTTCTCGTCAGCCAAGATCTTAAACTTCTCCACGTAGTAGTCCAGCTCCTCCACGGTGAGGTCCGTGTAGCCAAGCTGCTGCAGACGCTTGCTGTACGCGTGGCGACCCGAGTGCTTGCCCAGCACCATCTTGTTCTCGCTCAGGCCGACCGACTCGGGCAGCATGATCTCGTACGTTGCCTGGTGCTTCAGCACGCCATCTTGGTGGATCCCCGACTCGTGGGCAAACGCGTTGGCCCCTACAATGGCCTTGTTCGGCTGGATGGACATGCCCGTGTAGTGGCTGACCATGCGGCTACAGCGCGTAATGTGCGTCGAGTCGATGCTCGTGTACACGGGAAAGTGCTGCGGCCGTGTCTTCAAGACCATCACGAGCTCCTCGAGCGCCGTGTTGCCCGCCCGCTCGCCAATGCCATTGATCGTCACTTCCACCTGCCGCGCGCCGCCCTGGACGGCCGACAGCGTGTTTGCCGTGGCCAGACCCAAGTCATTGTGGCAATGCGCCGAGAACACGGCCCTGTCGCTGCCCTTTGTGTTCTCAATCAGGTAGCGGAAGAGCGAGCCGTACTCGCCCGGTACCGTGTAGCCCACCGTGTCGGGGATGTTGACGGTCGTCGCGCCCGCTTGGATCACTTCGGCCAGGAACTCGCACAGAAAGTCGGGGTCGCTCCGCCCGGCGTCCTCGGTCGAGAACTCGACGTCCGGCGTCAGGCTCTTGGCAAACTGAATCGCCGCCACAGCGCGTCGAATGCACTCGTCGCGCGAGATCTTGAGCTTGTACTTGAGGTGGATGTCGGACGTGGCCAAGAACGTGTGGATGCGGTGCTTGGGCGCGTGCTTGACGGCGTCGTAGCAGCGCTGGATGTCCTTCTCCATGGCGCGCGCAAGCCCGCAGATGACCATGGGCTCGCCCGTCGCGCGGTTCGTCAGCAGCGGACCGATCTCGCGCGCAATGGCCGTCACGGCGTCAAAGTCGCCGGGCGACGAGATGGGGAACCCGGCCTCGCACACGTCGACGCCCAAGGCGCTCAAGCTGCGCGCAATGTCGAGCTTCTCTTTCAAGTTGAGCGTCGCGCCCGGCGACTGCTCGCCGTCGCGCAGCGTCGTGTCGAACAGCAGGAGGCGGTCCTTGCCGACGGGGGCGGCCGCGGCCGCAGTGGACAGAGCGCGACGGACGGGGCACCGGCCGAGCGCGGCCGAGCGCTGGACGAGCGTGTGGAGCATACTGAGTTCAAGATATCCGAATCCACGGGCGAGAGTGAAGGTCAGTCGGTGGTCAGTCGGGCAGTCGCCGAAAAGCAACGAGCGCGCGGAAAGGGAAATGAACAGAATGCGGCATTGCACGTTGCGGAAGTTTGCACAAACAACGCAACGTTTGGTCGCTGGCGCAGCGCGCGCGGCAAACGTCAAGTCCTGATCTTGTGGCGGATTTCAGCCAATCGAACACGAGGCGGCAGGGCAGAAAGGGCGCGAGCACTTTGTGTGTGGACATAAACCTGGAAAGCGCTGGGAATTGGCCAGTTTTCGCAGGCGGTGTGACATGTGCGACAAGGAAACAGGTCGTGCGGATCGGAAACGCTACGGACCTAAGTAGATTTCTTGGCAGCTTGTACGGGCGTAGAGCAGCGCAATGTATGCGCATACCGACCGGTCAGCTGCCCAGTTTCATGAACTGGGACGACTGGCGTACCAAGACGTTCACGTGGCCTGAACTCTTCGGTTGCAAAACGACTTGCCGTTATGTTGTTGGCACGAGACCCTCGTCATGCGTGCGCACGTGGATAGCAAACGACTGGGTCGGATCCAGCGTCTCACTAATGTTTAGCTAGCGCATTGCTTGGCGGCCGAGTGACCGCGCAGTTCCGAAAATGTGATGTCCAGGGATCCGAGCGCAACGGTCGAGACTTACAAGGTACGTGATGCACTGTAAGCACCTTGCAATGGCTACATGTCGAGACGTTGCAACATTCTTGCCGGCGCGATGGGAAACATCATGAGGAGATAGCATGATCATATACTTTGCACTTGCGTCGTTGCGTACTAGCTAACACCAGCAGATGCATGTTTCTCGTGCTCATCCGTGCAAACGCAGTGTGGACGCCTTTCAATATGCTCAAGTGTGTCACCATGAATTCGGCTGACAACCAACTGGCTTCGACTTTGCTGGAAGATGCTATCAGATTGCGCAAATGTAGTGTTGATGTCGTAGGTAAGAACGGTCAATGTAATTGAGAACTTCTACGATGTCGCTAGAAACCGATTGCTGTAGCGATAATTTGTGATCTCAGGCAAACAGCCGAGCAGTCATATTGACTTTCGAAAGTCGCAACAGTTTCCACGACAAACTTGTCCGTCAGATCAGCGCGGTAGTAGCCGAAGAAGACGTCAGCTTCAACTTCTAGCGACTCGACTTATGCTACTGGTTTTAAAGAAGATGTCGTGGTTGACAAGAAACTAGAAGTAATACCAATGCTGTGATGACAGTGTGTGAAACTATTTATCTATCGACTGGGTCATTGCCGTACGTGCGTGATACGCGTAACGGTGTGGGCTCCTACATGTCATCGACACCGAAAAGGGGCCAATGCAGCTATCATTTAAATTGACAAGACTCTCCATACTTACCTTGCTAAGCAAATACTAAATCAAGGTCATCTTCGATGGTAAGGTTCGGCACTACTCGAGTGATTGGTGAGGCCTCTGTACCAACCAACTATACCACCAATAGTTGCTAGACGTGCGCAATGTGTGGTATGCGAGCAGCAGGATTTACTGATTGTAGTTTGGCATATTTGACGTAAGATCAAAGGGGTACTGTGGTCTACTTTTTCCCCATCCTAGGCGTGTTCGTTGAGAAATTAACGGTGATTCGCACGTACAGTGTACATGATGCTTTGCGTAATCTTTCCTCACTGTAGTCAGGCTACGTAGCTCGTATTGTGCCAATTTGCGCATCGGTGCCCCGTTGCACCTAAAATCATTTGTGGTCCGTCCAACGACCACGGATTTCCATCGAGCATGCTCATGTCGGATAAAACAAATGATATCTTGTACACCGCGCATGAAGGCTTCGCCCACTTCAGTGAACTCGAATAGGCTGGGGTCAATCTAAAACAAGACGAACAACATGCCGCGATCGCCAAGTTTGCCTAGCACATAACTTAGCGCTGAAAAAGCAGAAGTATATTGTCTTTATCAGCGAGGATCTTATAAAACAGAGCAGGTAAGGAACTGGAGTGCTCAAACCTTTGAACTGTTAAGACAAAAACTGGCCCTTGCTGCTACTACCAAGTTGATGCACGCACCTTGACCCGAAAGCTTAAAAACCTATAGGTCCAAGGTGGTCGAAAGGATTGGTATTATAATGATTCTTCGAGTTACACGACGCCATAAGGGATCGACGTATCACCGGCAAAGAGATGAATGTATCAACCGACCAGTCAAACTTATCTAGACGTGACAAAACTTGGTTGTTCGGAATCAAGTGTAGTGGAGTGGGGACCACAAAACTGCTAATGGTTTTTCACTCTCCACTGGTTCCCGGGCAAGCGACTATGGAGGTGAATTTTGTTCTGTGCTTTCTGCCTTCCTCACCCGGTGTACCCGTAGTCAGAGAGACTTGCATTCTATTCGGTGAACTTACCTCGATGTCAATTTTAGTTGGCCTAGGAATAGATCGAGGATTACCAAGCGAACACTTCACTCAATAGCTATGTTTCTGGGGGGAGTTCCCAATTTGATATACCCCACTCAATATGATATGCCCCACTCAATATGATATGCCCTTATCTATAATAGACCGCCCTGTCCAATAATCCAAATTTTGATACTTAATTCACTTGTGTTCCGATCATTTTAGCCGTCTTGCGATCTTGTATCGTAAACATCAATGACTCAGCGCGTCCGACCGAAGTTAAGGGTTTGAGTTAATTGTTCTTGACGCGCATGGCAAAGTGATAGGAGGACAATCCTTGACAGGGCGTAATACGACGGTTCTTTGAAACGTCGGGAGGCCAAAAACAATACCTGAAGAGAATTCTTCACGCGTCAAATAAGATAATGTATGTAACGTACAATGACAAACACTCCAACTAAATGCGCCGCTTTGCACATTCGTTTCTCCGAATCTGATGCCACGTGCCGCCTCCACCAAACAATGTATCTTTGTGCTATGTGGTCTAGTTGCCGCCAATGACCAAACGAGTCACGAGCTCAATTCGCAAAGCTCGGTTTGTGTACACACAACAGAGTAATCGGTATTTTTCCTCTCGAATTGTAAATATCGAATCACGGTGTGCGGTATCACAACAGGTGGATCGTGGTCTTGCTCTCGTTCATTAATCGCGGCTCTCGATCGGGTTATTTATCCCATCTATATGTGGAATGCTATGTATATCAAGATTGCGTCAACGATCATGATCGCATTTCTACATAAACATGCGTCTGCAGCCATTCTGTCACACCTAACACGACTTTTTTAGTCGTGATTTTTGTCTGTAGTCTAACATCTGTTGCATTTTTATAGATAGCCAACATGTCCAATTATGTAACTTCGATCGTAGACTGCGGATCGCAGATTATGGAACGCCATCGCGCATCTGGATCATATATCTCCTGATTTCTATCCGTTCCAACCATGCATTTTTTCGAGGCAAATCACCCTACTCCATCACCCGTCGTATGCATTTTCGACAACAGCGACATTATACATGTAACACTTTCCGTCAATCCAAGTCGATTTAAACACTGCGGCACACATCATCCGATCTTAATTTGAAATTATTGATCAGTCTGCGACTTGACTCTTCACGGCCCATCTGCATTTAGGTCGCTAAATGTGCGGAATTTACGGTACACACGTACGCCTAATGAAGTAATCTATGAGATGAAAGCTCGACCTGAGCTCCAAACACTAAGCCAGGGTAAGCTTAACGTAAACTTTTACGCTCAGTACATACGCCACATACGCCACTTAGCCAACGGGAAAATTCGTTCATGAACACACGTTGATCGCGTTGTTCATACATGTTTCTGCGAATGAAGCTGTCATAAATCCTCTCTTTCACCTAGAAAACAGATTAAGCTTAAACAAGCGATTTTCATAGCGGAACATACGCCCTTCAGTCTAAGGCAGACTCGCGCGAATTCGGGTTCTTTTTGGCACTGAAACGATTGGAAATCAGGGATTTGAACCTATCAATAAAATCATGAATGGGGAGTGGAGGAAGGTGCTGTACAGAACCTGAAATTTTTGTTTAAATTGCAATTGATCTACATCGACAATGCACTACGCCTATAAAAATATTTTTCTTAATTCAGTTACAAACAATGGTACATAACGATAGTTAGTCGAGCAATTTCGGACAAGAGATGCGTATCTGACGCTGTAGTGGGATCGCAATAGCGCAACGGCTTGTCGATAACGGTCGTGGTCTGTCGAACTGGAGCGTCCTAATAATTCGGCAGCGTCAAGAGCAATTTTTGTCCTCTTACTATAGACTTTTCCATCACTCCGGCCTTTGCTTGTAGCTGCCCCTAGTGATGTGATATTCCTCATCGTATAATTGATCGAAGTGAACAAATGCATGCAATAAAGAGGTCTTAGTGAATGTGGGCGTCAAATGTTTTGTTCGATTCCAGTTGCAAAATGATCGTGGACTCGTATTTGTTAATCATTAGACCCTTCTTATGAGGAATACGTAACGCCTTGCCACAGGCGCAATTGTAAGTGTAATAAACGTGTCGAGGAATTAATTTTCTAAGATATTGAGTGATATTATATATAAACTACGTCCTACTGAATAAGGATGCTAATAATTATGTCATTTTGCGTTCACCATGGCAGAAGATACAGAGCCGTAAATTAGCTGGCAGCATCAATTCGTTAAGATGCATGCTACTTGTTTATCAGATGACTAAATGGTGAATGTCTTGTAGCGTTCACAACCGTGTAAATGTTCTACGAACGAGTGCGATCGCATTTATAATGTATATATAATTAACGCGAATGTACAAAACCTCAGTTTGATTCATCACTACACTATAGAACTAAGTTGCCGAATGCTGCATTGAGATACAGGAAGTTCTGAATATCTACACCTAAAATAAGTTGCGAGGTCCGGGACTTGTATGCATGCCTAGTAGGCAGCATTCGAAGAAGAAGACTCCTCTTGGTCAAAGGCGAAAAAATTGCAATTTGATCAAACAAGAAATGCGATTGTCAA